CCTGCCCTAGACTTAGTTCATCCTTCACAAGCTGTGGTTGCAAGAACATGAATTCCACGACCGGGCACCACCTCCATCTCCCTATGACTACTTTGGGCAAGATGCTCTTGATTCTTTAGGTAGACTGGGTGCTGGACTTCCAGGGCAATAGTGCAAAGGCTCACTGCAGAATTCAGCTTCAGGCAAATTCTCTGGATCTTACACGCTATACCTGCTGGCTGGTGAGACTGTAGCCAAAATATCAGAGTGCTGCCTGCTCACTCTTTAACAATGTAGGAGGAAAACATCCTGTTTCCTAATGCCATTGTTCTTAGAACAGCTAATTATTCTTAGACTTCTATATCTGGCTTTATATGTTTCACCCTTTATTTCACCCAAATAGTACCTTAGGCACTGACAACTTTTTGTCTCAGCTCACTTATGACTTAAAACCAGTTTAGTCTCAGACAAATACTCCACTTCACAGTTACCAGCACAGCCTGCAAGGACTCACATCTTACAAAACAAGATGACTGTTTCAGAAATTGTTTTCTAAGGTTTTTAGGCAATTAAGAAAACATCCTTTGCTTTCAACTTGTCTCTATGGCTAGGCAAGGAGAAAAACCTATAACGTAACTAAGGAAGTCACAGAGTTTGTGCATCTGTAGCCAAGGAAGAAACTGATCTATCATTCCAAGCAAGGGGAGGATGTCCACACCAAATGTGCTTAGCCATGTACAATGACAAACATCATTAAGGCAAGCAGAGTTCTAGAATTTTGTCAAGAGTGTTTTCAGTACAGGACTCTACCAAGCTGGGCAAATCCATGGCTTCCCCTATACAGAGCTACAAAATACGAACACTCAACAGTGCTGGACTGACACAGGTCAAAGACCCAAGTAAGTGGTTGCAGAACTGAATCCCATGTTTACCCACCAGATGGATTCTCAATCCAGAATTCATCCTTGTTCAGCCACAAATCCCTTCTTGAGCTCTTGTCATATGTTTTTTTAGAATTCCTGATTCAGATCAGCAGACTGCAAATGTGTCCTCCAGAACTGAATTTGGATTTAACAAACATTTGATCTGGATTTGATTGCCACAGATTTTGCAGCGAGATGGAGGAAAGCTTTGAAAACAGATGGGAAAATGATGATGAGATGGCAAATTTCAGCTTGCTACAGCCTTTGTATTTAGGAACAATTAAACACATGAGAGATGTGTGATGAGAAACATCCACTCCATTCATATGCTCTAAAATCTGAAAGGGGGAAAAGAGACAGGCAGTTCAGACTTAACTTTCATACTGCTGTTCAAGACTCGCAGTACTGGTGCCAGGATTTTGGAGGAGATTGCAATGGTCACCTGGGTTGAGCCTGGGGAGAGGAGGCCCCCCAGTAACCATTCTGAAGTGTGATCCAGATTCTAGAACAGAGTTCTACTTCTCTCAGTGCAATGCATTGTACCAAATACTTCCCTACAAAACACACATTTGTATCAGAACTACAGAGAAGTTAAAACAACTGAATTAAATTCTCACTAAATTTTACATATAGTAGAAATATTTGGATAATTTACTTTCCAATAGATTTCAATAAACAAACATTATTTTAATTGCAGTGAACAGAACTTATTTGCAATACCTGATTCAGCTGACATTACACTGATCTTTAAATTCATTTATATGCATTGTAAGCTTACGTATGTAGGTAAATTCATGTAATTTCTATAAATACTTCTGTAAAACTTTGCAATACAAAGAAAAATCCCCTTGAGAATTACTTCAGTGAAAGACATTGTATGCTAGTAAGAAAGGTAATTGCTACTGGTAATGTATTTTACTTTGCGTATTCTATAATAACATTCTTATATAACCAAATACAAAAAGGCAGTGACAGTGTATCCAGCCTTCCTTCTCCTTCTCTTCCATCAAAATGGTCTACCAGTTTTTGTTGCTAACCTGTGGCACTGTGATTTCTAAATGCAATACATTCAAGGCAAGATGCACAAAAGCATTAAAATTTTCATATTAAGAGCAGGGAAGAGAGAACAATGAAAAAGCTTAAGAAAGTGATAAATGCCATCTTTAAAAAAATGGATAAAAGCCAAAAAGTGCAAAAGTCTTTCAAGGAGACTGTGCCTTTATATATAGCACAAACCTGCATTTTTCACATCAATAGTAAACTTTAATGATGTCAATAACATGCTGGCATAGGCAGTAGGGGCCAATACTCTTTGCAGGTTTACAGAAGTATTTAGATTAAGATATTTAGACAAAGATATTAAGACATTCCTTTCTTGAAGGCATACTCAAGACTGCACAAATTCCCACTACAACCAAGGCCCATCTAAGCATGGGTCACTCTTCTTTAACCTTACAGCCATCAGTATGCAGGATCAAAGTTGCTGACTCAGCACACAGACAAAATTTGGTTACTCTGGTTTGAAAATAGGGTACATCTCCAAGATCATACCGCTCCCAAAACTGTACTTCAAATTGTCTTTAAGACAAATCTGAGTACTCTGGAATTTAAATGAAAATAAAAGAAGAAGAAAAAAAGGAAAACATAGAGCAACTTCTCATCTTTCTGTCTCTTAGAAGGACTCCTGCTATGACAGACACAGAAGTCCCAACTTACCACAGCAAAAGAAATGGAAAAAAACCCTAAAAAATTAATGCCTTTCCCTGTTTCCCAGCAAGGCTTTGTTTCTTTATATCCCTCTTGTACTCTATGCTACCAAAGGCCAAGGAATGTCTGTCTGGTTGTCTGTCTAGACTACGCCTAATTTCATGTACCCATGTGAGCTCTGAACTTGTCACATCCCAGAGCACGTGGCGCTCACTCTGCTAAGGAGCGTAGCTGCTCCACATCAGCAGAACAAGGTCTAGCTAATCTGCACTGTACTGTGTGGTTCATTACAAACGCATTCTAATACCTGCAGTAAACACATCTAATAATAGTATGCATCTCCTTATATTGCATTCTCACATGGTCATAAATTTTTACATATCTGCTAGGAATTATAATTATCAGCAGTGAATAAAACAGTAGCTTTAATAACTCGCTTGCACATATAGAAGAAACCTTATCAGGATAGCAAGATAACCCCTGCTGTTGAAATAAGCAGGGCTAAAATAAAAGGTTATTTCCAACATGACCACAAGATATCAAGAGAAAAGCCTGCTGTAATTGCTTTGTACTTCACAGTATGAGGAGGCCAGTAATACCGCGTCCATTTCCCCATTCTTAATTGTATTTCTTAGTTTTTTTCAGACTACATCCAGGTGTTTTCTTCTTGTCAGAGCATAGTCTGAATGCTCCCTTGAGGGCAAAGAGAGTCTTACTAAAACCACATTTAGCACATACAGCAATTTAGTAACAACTCATTTATTCTGTTTGAAGGCTATGGCCAGATGTCTTTACATCCAATGCACTGCACCTGTGTGCATTAATAATGTGATTCACAATGTGTGGTGCAGAAAAACATACACGTGTAACCACACCTTGAAAGACTAGTTTTCTTCTTCAGCTCTTCCAGTTTATATAAATACACTTCACACCCTGGAAGGAGATGCTTGTATTGATTGCTGCTATTTCAGTAGCAGACAAACTGTTTAAATGATGCTTTGTCATCTGAAGAACCTGGAAAAAAGTCTTTGGTGAAAGTTAGCAACTGTTTAGGACAGGTAAAAATATTACACCCTTTTCTGCACAAAATTCTCTATTTTGGGCAGGCTAATTCAATCACCTGCAAGGATATTATTTCATATTCTTCTGACATGCATTATTTTGAAAAAAACCCAAACAAAACAACCCACTAACAAACCTCTCATTTACTGAAAAAATTTGAAAGGTTTGGCTATCTCAAAGATCACAAAACCTCATTTTATTCTTTTCCTCATAGCAAAATCAAGATTATATTTTATTTAACTTCTTTCCACTTAATAAAATATATTTTTTAAATAGAACAAACTATTTGCCAATGTTCAAGTACGTCAACATCATTGTCCATTTTCATAGCAAAGTATTTTACCTAGTTATATTTATAAAGGAAAAATAGTTTGCATACCACATTCCAATTTGAAATTTGGACTTGATAATTGCCATAAAAAAATTAAAAACATTTCTGGTTTTTTTCCAGCTTTACTCTGCATTTGGCAGAGAATTGGGAATGCCAGCTGCATATTTTGAATTGTCTCTTTCACCCATCTTACGATACTCCAACATTATTCAGACTAAGTCTTTCTCCAGAGCATGCCAGAGAGCACCAAGATCAGGAGGAAAGCTAAAGCTGAAAAGGAAGCAGGGGTGCATGAGGATGAAGGAGAAGGAAAACAAAACACAGTCAATGCATGGTTTGTGCTGCTGTTGTGAAAACTACTAGTTGCATCATCAATTTCATCACTAGAAACAAAACTCTCCTAATCCAGACACATAACACACACTTTTTTAAATTCCTCATGCACACAAAATTTAGAGGGTGCTCTACAAAACCAGTGAATTTTGAATGCATTAATACCAGAACAACAAAAAATATCTTTTTATTGTATTCATTCTTACCAGTTGCACAGCAGTTTAGTATAGTCAAGACTCAGCTACATTTTCCCAATGCAGAGGAATATTTCTTCAGAAATTGAAGTACAATAAAGTTAAAAGACATAATTTTATTTATAAAAGATTTACCTAATAATTTACCAACATAATTTTTCATGTTTTTTAAACATATTAGAAACTAAATCCAATTTCAGTAGACATTTTGCAATTAAGGAAAAGGGTGGAAAACACTTCAGGGAAGGAATGTGGAGAAAATTACATACAGTCAGGAAGTCGATGTGGGGCATCATATCACAATGCAGCATCTCTTATCTCACAGAAGGCAGAAAAGTCAACTCAATGCACCTAGAACTACACCTGATAGAATTTATTAGTCTCCGGACCTTTATTTTGCATCCCTAATATTTTCCACCTTTAAGCAGGATTAAAAACTGTCTGTTCTTTCATCTTCAGGTTCATACATACTTCTCCATTTTTGTAGTTCCTGAGAATCATTTATCTTCCATACTTCAGCAAAGGACTTTAGCTTTTTTCTGGAGGAAAAAAAATAAAATCAATCAAAATATGGACACATTTTTAAATTAAGCACATCAAACCTTGAAAGCTCTACATCATCTGCAAAATTTTAAACACAGTCAAAACCAGCACTTTGTGTAGCTCAAAATGTTATGTGATCTTCAAAGAATCAGTTATCATTTTGCAATATATGGATTCCAGCTCTAGGACAGCCAAAAATTTAATTTTATAACAAACTTACAGTACCAGAAGCATTGACAAGACGAAACAAAACACTGAGCAAGAGTAAATCATTGAAGGAAATAAACAGTATTGTAGTTTGCACCATTAAATTTTCAGCATTCAGTTCCTACAAATTTGCACTTGTACAATCATAGAGATTAACAAATTTTCAACATAAATGAGTACACACATCCTTCCAATTTTCTTTTTAATATTTTTTGATTTAAGAAGGACTCATAAGAGCTGTGACAAATAACAACAAGACATTTTAAATGGGTTAATACACATTCCTGATGACAGAGATGTCAGTACTGGATGGAATTACCTCATGGATTTTCTTAAATAATATAAAAGTGATTTAAAAAAATAAGACAAGGCAGATGCCTGTGGGTATTGTGACAGCACAAGTATACTGCTATGAATAGGTCTGAGTTTGATTCTCAAGATCATTATAATTTTTATTTCCTACCACAGATACACCATACTCATTTTAAAATTTGTTAATGTCTCTTGTGGGAAGAAGGTATAGAAGAATACTTTGACATTTAGATCTCATCATGGCAATAAGTAAAAATAAGCAGGAATATACAAAAGAAAATATTTCTATAATGACCTACATAGGAGAACTGGAAAAATTAAAGATTACATTCTACAATAATTTGTGCACTGTGAAATTATTAGACACATTGAATATTTTTTCTATTTTTTTGCTGACTTGAGCTCCAGGTTTGTATAGATGCATGAAGTTTCCTCCAAAGTGCATGCAAGGAGTCTATAATGAAGGAATAACCCAGTACAGGTCAAACCCAATGAATCAGCAACTGCTGTGTGGTGGATGTCTCTTGTCCCTGACATAGCACTGTCTCTCATTAAAGGGGGAGGCAAAAGCGCCAAAGTTCAGACGGGGTAGGCTGGTCTAGCAGGCAGGGCCACAGTCTCAAGGCTTCCTTTACTAACTGCTGCCAAATCAAGCGCCTCCTCCTTCTCTTGCTCCCACCCTTTCCTTCTTCAGGTAGTAATACCTCTTCATGTGTTACATCAGGAAATTTAACGTGTGTGATATCAACTGGAGAAAGAATGACTTTTCAGATGGATCAGATCCTTGACCTGTCCTGTTCTGTCGTCATGAAAAACCCAGACCTGTCACTATGGAGCAAAGGACAAGGAGCACCAGCACCCCCTCCAGCAGCAGCCTGTGGGGGATGGGCTGGGGGAAGCCTGCTCCAGCTGGTCCTCCCAGGCACATGCCCTGTCCCAGTAATGTGCTAGCATGGCTTTCATAGAACAAAGGGAGATATTATCTCACATCTTAATTTTATTACACAGTAACTCTGGCCTTGCAGCTTATACTCTCACCTTTCTGAACAACAATTTTTTCTTGATTTTAAAAGCCTATGCATCCTATAACAACAGGAGTTAAGATATTGCTAGTAATTTGCTGTTTTACTTTTGTCAGTTATGGACTATTATTTCCAATTAATGTAAGCTACCACAGTATTTTTCCCATAAACTGTCATGTATCTTCCATAGAATGTTTCTATTTTGCTTTCTGAAAAGGGAATAGAAACTTGTGTTAACCACTAAGCACTGTTAAGTTTCAAAATAATTGCCTGCATCTACAAATAATTTAGTACTTAAAATATTCTCATATGAAATTATTCAGGATTAGTTTTGGCCTTCGACAACAAAGATCTTCATTTATTATATTCCTAAAGGGCTATTTGAATTCTGCTGATAGAACTGCCACTGCAAATCAAAACAACAAACATTTCAGTGGAAATGAATATGCATACCAGCACATATTTATATCTAAATTGTGTACATAATGTTATGGGTTTTTTAAAGACAATATTATTTGATAGAGATAGGAATTTTCATAACTAGTCTAACAGATATGGTACATATGTCCCTAAATGAAATTAAAATTGGTTATCAGAAAAATATGTAAATCCTCAAACTTTCAGCCAAATTTTATGTGTTTGGGGGGCAACCAAAATACAAATATTTATTTTTAAGTTAAACTAGAAAAATACCTGCATTCCCTTCTACACTATAGTATGCAAATGCGATTTTAAGTTCTGAAGAGACAAATACACTTTCTAAATCTATTAGTATTTTCACTATCACTGGTGAGAACAGAAGTAGGTATTAGAAGATAAGTTATAATTCAAATTTGTCTTCCTGAAAACAGTGAAAATACACAACTGAAAGAATAAATTTGCTAGTATTTGCCATAAGAAAATAAAAAAGTTTATTCCTAATGTTAGCTCAATGTGCATTTAGTTTCTTCCAATCTTGTTTCAGAGGGAAGCAATTAACCTCTGACAGAATAGCTAACTATAAAATCTAAAGCTTTGATTGAAATGGATAGCACAGCTTCCTAAATATTCTTTCAAAGTTTTGTTTCATTGCCTCTTCCCTGAAGGGTAGGAGGATATCTGAAGTAGCTCTTACTGGTTTTTTTTAATGCACATTGTGTGAAATACTCTTCGATTCACAGCTGAAGTTTCACTGGGGTGAGGGGGGAAATCACAATTGTTCTGACCTTTTCATATTCACTACTCTCTCCAACTCCTTTGATTTGTGAGCTGCCTTCTTCAAGACTTCTTCAGGAATATCTGCCAGTTTGGCAACATTTAGCCCATAACTCCTTGCAGAGACTCCTTTAGTTATTTGATACAGAAAAGTGATAAATTCAGGATTCTCTTCATCTTCAGATCCTAAAAAAAATAAAACAAAAATCAAAGCCTCCTCTATTATGTTAATAAAATGTAGTAGACCAAAGACCGAAATGGCAAAGACTGTGGTCTCATTATCATTCATGCTTTCTGTGTGATCTATTCCACTGAAGAAATTAAAAAAAAAAAAAGTTTCCTTAAGACTACACATTTTAGCTACCCATTGTGAGACTGAAAAAACTCTACTATACTTTTAACTGGTGTCTTATGAAGCAGACTTGTTGTGTAAGTCAAATTGATTAGTTATGTTGTAACCAGGGTATTGCATCTCACATTTGCTGACCAAAGACAGAATAAAGGAAGTGTCAGTAATCCCACAATTAAAAAGTCCATAACTACAGCAGAACAAAAAGTTTGCTGCTTGCCAGGAAGCTTGGAGCCATAGAAATGCTTAGGAAAAACAAAACGTTAGGATGGTGGATCTTCCGCTACGTGTTCTTTCTATTCCATGACATTAAGATGGAAACATAAGAGCCATCATAATAAATCTAATGACTCCTTCCTCCTCCTCTTTTGTTGCATCTTTGCACAATCCAGGCCTTGTGTAAAGAGCAGAAAAACTATGGGGTTGTTCATTGTCATTCATTCTTCTGTCTTAAAAATGCAGGTTTTTGGAAACAATGGAGATTTTCATGAATGCTGATGGCTCAAGCTGATTTGATGTGAGTGATCCAAGTCAAAGATTGGAAAAAAACATACCATAAAACTCAACCTTAAATAAAACAATTAAAGTGTTAAGACATAAGGAGCTAAAGATCCAGGCAGAGTAATAAACATGGATGTGTTGTTGCTTGCAGGCTGTGGTACTACAACTATTGTGCTTTCTGTAGTAAAACACTGAAGACTACATATGTCCTGAAGGTTCAGGTCAGCTAACACTGAAAACAGAAATGCCGAAGTAGCACACTGAAACACAAAGTACAGGGTTTTATGGACACAACAGTTAAGGAATAGTAAGTATTGAATGTTGATAACATCTCAATTGCCTGATGGTATCAGAGAACAACAGTTCAATTAATGAACTCCATGAGAAAAGGACATGCTGATGCTCAGGAGAGTGATGCTCTTAACTGGGAACATCAGCATGGCTAGATAGTGCTCACCTAAACATAACACTACTTCAAACTACCTGTGCTCAAAGTTTACATGTATTTCTGGGATCCCTGCTTCTAATATTGAACAGAATACAAAAGCCAAAGTCTCCCTCTAGCCAAATTTGTAAACTAACTCTCCAAAAAACATGTAAAAAGTGACAGATCATATATTTAAACATGTTATTTAGTGGCAAATACTAGAATGCCCTGTCCTGGTTAGTTTGCAATGGAAGCAGATAATACAGTATTAAGAATTAATTAGGGGGAAGGTGAATGGCAAATATCACGCTAATTCTTAAAAAAAATTCCAGCAATGATACAGCGAACAGGCCATTACTAGGCAAAGTGGGAAAACCAGAATAAGAGCAGAATTATCAAGCACCTAATTAAACCTGATGACATATCAAGAAAAAAATCAAAGCAGTTTGTACACAGGGAAAACCTACATCACAAATCTCTTGTAAGTTTGGAAGCCATGTGAGTAAGACAGATCCAGTGAATAAATCCTATGTGGATTTTCAAAAAGCTTTTGACAAGAGTCCAGCATCAAATGCTCCTCTGACAATTAATCAGCCATAATGTAAAAGGCAGGCCTTTGCATCTGTAAACAATTGGTTAAAAGATAGGAAACAGATGGTAACAGTCCTCACCATGAAGGGTGATTATCAAACAAGAAAAAGAGTTAAGCAGTAAGCTGTCAACCTTTACTGAAGATACTAACTAATTCAGAGCAGCAGTGACAAAAAAAGAAGAAATTCTGTAAATCTTCTGCTTGGCAAGACCAGAACTGAATGGTATTATGATAAGCAATCTACTAAATTACGCATGGCAAAGAAAGGATCAGAGATTACTCCTCTGCCTCTTCTGATTCAAGATCTGGGACTATGAAGTGAAGCTCCATGTTGTTTCAAAAAAGTTTCAAAACAAACAAGAGGAGGTGGTTCTTCACACAATGCAGTGTTAAATTCTTGAGCTCCTTGACACAGTAGGATGAAGATGCTAAAAGTATGGAAGGATACTCAGGGACACTAGACAGCCTCGTTGAAATTAAATCTATTCAACAGACTAAAAAAACCCCAGAAAACACATCTAGCTCTTGAAGCCCCCTAAATAGCAAACATTTGGAGACAGTGAGATCAAGAGTTGACATATGTTTACTCCCTAATCTCTCCTCCCTAATCATTTGTATTTGGCTACTGTGAAAAGCTGGATACTGGTCTGGATGAAACTTTTATCTGACACAGTGCAGTCATCCTTCTATTAAAGAGAAATAGTTGTTCAGTGTGTATAAGCTGATACTCCAGTGAGTCTGGATGTATCATTTTCATGTTGAGGTTTCAATTACTGTAACAATTTTACAATTTCTGCCTATACCTATAGTAACAGAATCTCAGATGGATTTATACTGTACCTTTTTGTTCAGCACTTTCCTCCTCATTCACCAAGAAAGCCATGTGGTAATTACCAACTTTTTCTGGATACACCTTCTCCAGCTCACAAACTGAGGGATAGTGAGTGACAAACAGTGTCAGTGACTCCACCTACAACAACGAAATAGATGCACAGGAAGGTTTAGCTTTAATTTTTTTTCTTAAACACAGCAACATAGAACTGGTATCCTTCATCCGTATCCCTTTGCTCTGAGTATAGACATGCCACATTTCTACAAGGAAATAACACGATGTCCAAGTCAGCCTCCCATACTACAGGCTGAAAAAGCATTCACCAGCATGTGTCGGATTGAACACTTACATCTCTAATAAAATGTTCAAGTGTAGCATAAGCAATAGCTATTCCATCATGTGTGCTAGTTCCTCTTCCCAATTCATCCAAAATTACTAGTGATCTTGAAGTTGCTTTTCTTATTATCTCAGCAGTATCTGTCAGTTCTTCCATAAAGGTACTTTGGCCTTTGTAAATGTTGTCTGCTGCGCCCATTCTGCATTGGGATACAAAACAGATCGATTTATTAAGTTCAAGTAAATGCCAGATACTACTGGAAAAAAAAAATCTTGATAATGAAACAATTTTGTTATAAATTTCTTGTTGTTGCTCCAAGCAGAACAGAAAAACCCAGGGAGAACATTCACCTTCCAGAACAAGCTACTGCTTAGGAAAAAAATGCAACAACAGCACATGGTGCAGACATGAGGGTACTCTAAAACACTGAAAGGTCCCGAGGGAACTACTCATGTAGCATCAAATAAGGGTTTGTATGCATTCCCCAAGACAACAGGATATACCAACCCTATGGCCATCTGGGGGAGGTTAGGCTGTAAGGTCAGCAGAGAATTTTTCTGGACCATCAGTACTCTAGTCCCAGTGTAAATCCATAGACAGAAATCTCAGCATCCCATGTCAATGACAGGAATAGGGGGAAAAAGAGGAGGTAGACAAGGGGGTATTTCTTAGTATGAAATTCTTCCACCTTGACAAACAGTACAAGGCAGCCTGCTCTTCCCTTAAAAAGCATCCTGGGAATTCAGATCAGTCAGCTCACAAGAAGGATTCCAGCAAAGGTAGCCATGAAAATGAATTTTACTTTTTAGTTTGACCATCTAGTTGGTGTATTTTTTAAATGCTAACAGCACCTGGAAGTATCAGATATTATCATTTCCATGTAGAGACAGAGGGGACACTCGTGACCAGGTATTTGTGCATCCAAACAGAAACACCAGTTAGTTCCTTCAGGCAGTAATAAAATAACAATTATTTCCCCTAATTACACAGGTACACAATCTTACCAGCATGCTTAAACATGATTTTAAGAGAAAGATTTCTCATTCTTTTACACAACTGGCCTTGAACTTACCAGCCTTCACACAGGTGAATTTCTCTTCTGCTCCACACACATATGCACACACAAATTCTTTCATACAAGCCTCTTAGCACTGTTTCAGATTCACGCAAAATTGAAACCTCAAATTTTATCTCAAATTGTAAAATTGCAGTTTTCATCTCAGAAATCTGTTGGTCATTCACCCTGTTTTTCTCTTCTGCAGCTAATAAATTAATACGTTTTCTACCTGGGAAAAAAGAACACTCTTTTTTTGCATATATGCTTTTCAATTACATTAATCACATTACAATATCACTTCTGCGATAGGTTGTCATTAGCAAGCCACTGAGTAGGGCTGCAAAAATGGATTTGTTCACTCTCCTCAGCCAATAATACAGTTACATACAAGCCACACTGATTTAAGGAAAAGTGACTCATGGGCTTAGCATATTACATTTTCAGATGTAACAGCTGGCCACAACAGTATTTAAAGCCAATCAAAACCTTTAAAGAGAATCCCAGTATAGCTTTTTTCCTCTCCGTCATTTGCTGCATCTCTCTCCAATATAATTGCTTCTATTGCCTATAGAAGCACTAGCAAGATATTCATAATTTTATAAGGATCTTATGATTGTCAAGAGTAATTGACTACTAATACCAAAAACTAGCAGGTTGGACACAGTACAGTTATGATTTCTATATATTTTCTGGTTCCTGCCCTGTAAATTTGGTATGGTGGCATGCATAACTTCACAATATGCAAATCTTCAATTTTAAATTAACTAATTTTGGTTGGAGATGGGCATTATGATACAATGTGCAAATGGTGTGTTTTTATTTCATTTAATATGTGCTTACATACACACACACTAGGTATACTCTGACATACTCCAGAAGAAAGGTGATTTTGCACATAAGCTAATTAAACTTTACATTAATTTAAGTGAATTAAATATATAATTCAGGATATCGAGGCATTGTGAAACTAACATTTTATTAAGACATTTACTACTGTGATCTTTTTAAATAGTGGGTTAAGAACTATGAACATACTACTGACTTTCTCACAGTGTCCCCAGCCCCTTTTCCTAGTTTGGTTCGGCCATTATGTACTACTGTAAAATCAAACAATCCCCCTTTATTGCAATATTGCACAGATCTACAGGGAACAATATGGACCAGATCTATGTTTAACACTATTAACTACAAATAAGTTCACCAGAATGACAAATACTTTTTACGTCTCAACAATCTCTGGCTCTGTAATGGGCAACTTTAACCTCAGTTTCTGACCCTAGGATTATGTGTGTTGCTATTTTATAATTTTTATTTGGCTTTTCATTACAGGGACAGCATCCAACTGTCTGTTAGGCTGTCTGTTCTGCACCTATGATGATTATACTGAGTTCTCAGTTCTATTTTTCTCTTGGATTGCATAATTTCCATAGAGCCCACAAAATCATTTAGTCATTTTATATCTAATTTGGATTCACAGAAATAACTTTCAGAACTTCCTCACTAAATTCTCAAGATGCAAACAGAAATGAGTATTATCTTTCTCTTGTTGTTAACAACAGTTGCAAAAGAAGCCTTTCTTTTCAGCATCTTAAACCATTCAAATTTAACTCAGGCTTATCTACAGATTATAAAAACACATGTATTTTTAAATGACATAAAAACTCTTAAATGTCACCCTTTGAAAACAGTTAAAATTGTTCTTTCTGCCTCTGTCCAAGACACTAGAAGAATCATACTTGTTTTTGAACTGACGTGATAAGCAATATTATCTCCAAAAAAGTAGGAATAACTAGTAGGAATGTAAATGATTGCATTTATAAAACTAACATTTAAGATGCAGCAAGGCATTGCTCCCTAACTGTACGCTATATTATTCCTGATAAAGTTTTTGAGTCAAAACACATATTGCTTATCAATTCTTTTTCTTCAAGTTTAAAACAGACATAATAAATCCCACTAAACTTCTAACAAATCCTAGAAAACAAGACTACAAAATCATTCTGTAAATCCTTATTTTCATACAGTTGTCAGTATCTTGAGACTATTTATTAATTCCTGGTTTATAAAATACTTAATGCTAAAAAAACCCTTAAATGACATTCAAGATTTTTCACCTTCATTTTAGAAACATGAATTTGACTTCAAAAGTTAATCTAAAATACTTACTGGGGAAATAAAACCTTGTGCCTGTTACAGAAGAATAAACCTAATTAGTATAGAGTCTCTACATGCTGCCTTTGCCGTTTTCAAGAGGAGGCACTCAGGTTTCTAGATATGGTTTGTCTTCCCAGGGATCAGAACTGAAGCCAAAATTCATCTCAGAATGTACTCATCATCAAATTATTTATTCGTCAAGAACAATGAACATTAAAAGAAAATGATTCTTTTCTCTGAGGTGTAGAACAATGCTCTCTCAACACCACGAACAAAGACATTTCCTCTGTGATTCAAAGAGAACACTGAGAAAAACACAAATAAAATATACTCATAATGTGACTTTACAATTCTACTCTCTCCCTCTCACACAAAACCCTTCAAAATGTCATTTCAAAGATCACTTCATCTGAACAGGAGTTATTTAAATTAAAATAACTAGTTTACAGAAAGAAAGCTTTAGATGGGGTTTTGCCTTACAGTTTATCCCTTTTCCTGCACGGGACTGTCCTCTACAACATGTTTTTGATCAACATGGTATAGTTAGTATTTTTTAAAAATATCTCACAACAACTGTTTTTTATCCTTTTATTTTTTTGCAGAAAACACTCTTCCCAGCTGAAGTTTTATGTGATCTCTGCAGAAAACAAACAGGTACAAAAGTATAAGTATTAACCGAAGATGATGTTTATGAGAGCAGAAAAACTTGATATTGATCCTGACATGAATGAAAGAGCACAGGTGTAATTTCATTTCAACGCTTTGGTAAATCTTCTCCCATTAAACTGGGTTATTGACTGTCTACTAGGCACCTAGCAAACAACACTTATTGAGACTTCACAGGTTAAAAATCAAAATTAGTTTTCAAATTGGACTATTGGACTGCCAAGAAAATGAAAACAGGCATCCTAAATGGAGGACTGGTGGGCTGACTACTGCACATCCTCTCCTACTGCGGTCCCAAGAATAATCCCAAACGTTTAACCAGAACCACCTTTCAGTTTTGCCGACAAAAGCAATTTGAAACCTTGCGTATTTTAGAAACACTCAGACTGCTAATAAGAATTTCACAGAGGTTAGTATAAAAGTAGCCAAACTTGGGTATTGTAACTTCTGGCTACTTTCCACATACAATGAAAATTTATCAAGTAATGCTCTAGAAGATAGCATCTGCAAATTTATAACAGTTCACTGGCAAGAAACTAATGCTTCCCACTCCCCCACAGAGTACTGGCAAATCATTTACTTCATTTCCATCAAGCCCTTAGTCATTCAAACCAAAAACTGACAGAAAAATAATTTACAGAAACTACAATTAGGGAATTTAAAAAACCAACTCTCATCCTAAGTATGACAGAAAGCATTGTTATCAGGATAGTTATTTTTGCATCAGGCATGGACAACTTCTAAGAAGCAAATGCGTGCAAAGTTACCTGGACAATGACGATAGGAAATCATAAGATGCTCGTGATACTAACCTATTTACAGTCAACAGGCACACCATTTCTGCAACTGCTTATTTGCAAACTTTAAATGAAGAAATACAGATGGCATGTTACCCAATTTAGAAGAACAGTTGTTGAAAAGCCTGACAGAATGCATTACACATTTAATGTAAAATACATTTTGATTTTGTAAATTATTGTAGACATATCATATTCTCAGTCACTGAGAAATTAATGAAACTAGCAAAACTGAAGACCACTAAGGAAACATACTTTGTGTTATCCTGGTAAGAAAAGCAAGTCCAAAGTGATTTTAATATTCCGTTTCATTGTGATTTTTACCTTTTTTTTCCCCCCCTTTTCCATATCACTAGGTAATTGAAATAGCCAGAAGAAGTAACCACTTAAATCCTCATTACTTAATAGATCCAGTCAACAGAGGCATGCTGCACACATGAGCACCCCAGTATATCAAAATAAATGTATCTACCAGGATTAGCTTTCAAGATGTGAACTGTATTGACTTTTAGCTGGAAGCCAGAG